GTATTCTATTAGGTTTAAAAAAGGAGAAGGAATTAGAAAGGGGAGGGAACTTGATCAAGAAGCTATGGGCAAGAAACGGAAGGGGAATTCACCACCGCCCCTGCATGACAAAGCTATCTTAGATCATTTGGAATGATTTGGAATGATTTTCTTTTAGTCAGAACACAACGTTTGATGTTACTGTTGTACACTGTATTGTATTGTAAAGCGCTGAGAGTCTGTGTACTTTAATCGAGGCTGAGCGCTATATAAATGTGAGGCAGCGTGGTGAAATCAGGCGCTCGTCAAAATAATGAAAGTGAAGAAACTGGCGTTTTTCCTCAGGTTTGAGAATTTTTATTGAATTTTTGTTTTTCGACTTAACACCTTTTATGACCGTTAAAAACACATTTCAGTGTGGATTTTACTGGGGAAATGTTGATTAAATCTATAAAAGATGTAAATTTTCTGTTTCCACGGGCTCTCAGGCTATGGAAATAACTGAACTTTCGCGGTCATTTTCTTGCTAATTTTACCTCTGAAACCAGGAGACCTCACCTCTTTCAATCGCAAATATCTCGACTTGTACCCAAGATATATGCGTTTTGTTTTCCTTGAAAGCTAGGCGAATGAACAAGCTTTAAGGTGATACCAATAACTTGTCAATAAGCCAAAAAATTGACGGGCACCTGTTTCCACTGCGTCATGACACAAATGGCATTGTGGGTGGTTGGCGGGTGCTCTGGTGTGGTTTGCTCCTTCTTTCCTATAAAAATTCTATCGTCTCTATCTTCCCTCCTTCTTTTTTATGTTTGTTACTCTCTTGTAACACCTCTAATCTTCGGCACTTATAGGATCTTATTGTGTTGCAAGTGCTGTAAAACTCTTACTAAAAGTAAAAACTAAAACAAATGTCATTTATTATTCATTATTATTATTATCTTATCTCACTTGTCTTCCGTCAGCGAGAGCTCGGGGACAAGAACAGCGCAGCCACGGACCAGATCCGCCAGCTGCTGCCGCTGCCCAAGCAGCCCATCGAGGTGATCACGGTGGAGCCGTACGGGGCCGTGCTGGACAACAAGGGCAACAGGGTGCCGGGGCTGGACGCCACGGGGAAGAAGGCGGTCAGTTGGTTTGCTTTTGTTGTTTTGTTTTGTATTGTTTGTTGGTTTTTTTT